TGGTGAAGCATTGAATCAGACTGCCATAACGTTCATTACGCTACATGCCGAACACTCACACTGACATGCCGTTCATAGGATTGGATGGATCATACTGATCCCTCAGACTGACATGGCGTTCATATGATTTGAACATGCTGTCATTCACAGTGGCATGGCAAAGCTGAAACAATAGAGATATGTGTCACCCGTGCATGCTATATATATATATATATATATATATATATATATATATATATATATATATATAGCATGCATTTATAGCGGAGAACCCATTTTCCAGTGACTGTTTAATGAGTTGTAGTCGGAGTACGGTGTGCTACTTTCAAGTCGCTGTATTGTGCTAAATTCTCAATAAAGTTTGAAAAATTGCATTGGATGAGGAGGCGGGTCCATGCCGCTTCGTGCCGTTCTGAGATTGGTTCATGCCGCCCTGAAATAGAAGCCTGTCGTTGTGAGATCGGAACATGCCATTTGCCACTTTTCGATCTGGGCGCCATTCACATTGTCTTATCTAATGGGAGGGTCTAGTGGGTGGAGCCATGGCCCTGTAGGCCCACCCAAGGCTACGCAGGTTCAGCACATGATTTTAGAAGCAAATGAAAGATTTTTCAGAGAGGTGGCCTCAGACATTATGGTTTTATGGCTTTCATGGCTCATTTGTACCTCATGTTAGCTCTTGTTTTGCCAGAACGGAGGGCTCATTATTTGAATGCGATACTTAGTAGCAGTATTTACATTCTTCTTCCATCCCAAATGTGCAGTTCTTTATGCAGCAGTGATGACTTAATTGCTTAGTGTTTGAAACAATCACAACAACCAACTTACAGCAAAATCAGGCGTTGCACTCCGAACCCAGACTGGCTCTGTTTTTATTTCAAACCGAGGAATTCAAATTGTTCAAATTCCCTAATGGATTGTCTGAACTAAGCAAAATTGATGTATAATTACTTTATGCCTCCCCACCTAATGTAAAAAGCATCATTAAGCTTTAAAACCTCAAGAACTAAATTACCTTTTTTATACATGACTCAGAGCTTAAAGACTGGCACGATAATAAATGAAACGGAGACAGTAGCCGTGCAAGATCGGGACAAATTTACCATGGCGTTGCAGTTGCTTCATTTCTTCGGCATGCTGACATGATTTACCTCCTAAGCATTTTTGGGAATTAAACCTCTGATCCTCAGAAGACCTCGGCTGCACTCACCTCCCTCACGGAGGAGTTTCACTACCGCCCTTTGACGCCACAGCTTTCAGGGAAGGCCAGGAAATACTGCTGAGGCATTTATCTCCTCTGCCTTCTTTGACCAGTCAAACCTTAAATCCAGTGAAGAGCAGGCTGTCGACGCAAACTGTCTCTGCAGCAGCATTCGTTTCATTAAAGATAATAAAATATAACTGATTACTGTGCCAATTTAGTCCAGCCCCAAAAAGGATTTCTCCACTCACCTCTGATCCCATCCGTCATTATTCGTCCATGATAAAACAGGCATAGTTGACTTTCCATCCAAAAATACTGAAAAGTTTTACGTTTATTTGTTCGCTTTGAAATGTAAAGAGGGTGTTCTCCAATGAATGAAGACCAATTTACAGGAACTGTTTCAGACATTGTACTGAAATGGGTTCAACATTGATCCCCAGAGGATGAATCCTCTTGATTTTATTGATCCCTGACTTTTCCTCTCTGGCTCTGTAGCATTATGGTTGATATTTGATGAGTGTAAAGCCTTCGCAGCTACTAACTAAATGGATGTAAAGAGATTTCGCAGCGGACATTCCTGCCCTCCTCAAAGGAATTGTGGTAACTTTCATGATCCATTGACTTTCCCTTTAGTGTCAACTAAAGGCAGAAATTATTCACATCTTTTTCAGCTTTGTCTTTATCTCCACTTTATTTAGTTTAATGGCACATCATCTGGGCGAGAAGTGAGGCGCAAGAAGCAAAGGGGTTTTTATTTATTTTAATTGATCATAATTGTGTTTTGGGCATAGAATGAGTTGAACCATTTCAATCCCTTTAAAAGCCTTGTGTGCCTGCATCTGGCTCATTAATATTTAAATGGCAGATGCGGCAAATTGGAGAAGCAGGTGGTTTCGTGCCATGACATTTTTCTTTGAAAGGCTAAACGCTACCAGATGTGGATTGAGGCAGAATATCCTGTACGATTAAGACATGTTGTAGAATTGTTTGTGAACACCTACGCAGACGTAGATGGTGACAATGCACCTGACGAAAACTCCTTATCCAATTACAGGCGTGTATCTTACACGATGCGTAAGGCGCCAAGCCCCTAATTGTTGACTTGTTTCTCTTTGATGAGTATTCTCTTCATTCCTTTGTTGGTCTGGTTGTGCTCAGTAGCGATAAAGAAGTTTGAACAAAAATGTGTATCATGTCAAAAAACAACACCGTAGTTGTAATTTTCCCTTTCTCACTCACACAGATCTGAATATATTCTTTCTTTATATAAGGTTTCACACTCTTAGGGCTCTATTTAAACTATAAAAGTGCGTGATCGACACGGCAAGGCACTTCCATCTCCACTTTAGGTAGTTAAATGGCACATAATCTGGGTTGAAGTGATTTCATGTATGTATATATATATACATATACCTTCCTCTGTGAGCTTATGCCTCACAGAGGAAGGTAAGTCTCATTCTGTTTTCCTCTCCTCCTGCCGTCTCTTTTGATACCCTCAGATGACACCCTTCCAGTTTGATGCACCTCTCTGCTGTGAGCGGTGGAGCCACTGCTCCCTTTGAAGCTGCACAGTCGAGTGCAGGAGCGGCTGCAGCTGGCAGAGTTGAGACCGAGGCTTGTGGCAACGGCGACTACGACCGACCGGGGGCATGATATAGTCACCAACTCCAGCACGCTATAATCGTCACAGTTGTGTCTGGCAGGCCAGGGGCCCGCGCGGTGCCCGGGTGCAATGTGGCGCTCCGTGTTTTGGTCGGCGAGGTGCAACGTGTCCACTCTAGCGGGGCCCGGGCTTAGTCTCCAGTCATGGGGTCTGATGAGGCCTGACAGCCTGTTTACCTTGGACGCCATTTCCCTGATGTTTCTGCATGGTTTGGCGCTGACTACCAGTCCACGGCCGACAGCTTTATTGAATCAGCTCTGCGGCTACAAAGGCAGAAGAAAGAAAAGACAGTAGAGAGACGAAAGCTAAAAGAACAAAAGAACAGAAGGTTAAAAAGTATTTTAATCGCCGTCCCCCCTCTATCTTTGAGGAGTGTTTAGGTTTATTCTCTCTCTTCGACATGAATACAGACCCCTTGCATTGTCCCGACAAAACTCAAACAGCACATAAAACCGGTTGCACTTTGACACAAACCAGAGACCAGAGGGTAAACAATGTTGCTTGCTGCATCTGCTTTAATATAAATGGCTTCTCCTATTGGTTGCCTGCTGCACCACCTCCCAACCTCCCACACCCTCTGAAACGGTCCTATCCTGGTGGGACGTCTTATATAAACTGCCTCTGGCCAAATATCACATGCGTATGGGAACATAGTGACCCGATTACTTAGAAAAGGACAGAAAGAAGAGAATTCACTTAAGACAACATACCAGCACGGGGCAGACACGCACAAGAACCCACTCGTGCAGACGCACACACGCACACATGCACTTTTGGAATATGCAACGATGCGCGCACGCTCACTTCCTCTGCTCCTTTGTCATCATCAAAGATAACATCACAAGGTGGGTCTTTGCACACATGAAGGCTTTTTGTTTCGGAGTATGAATAACTCCATTGAGACGAAGCGGCCTGTAGAATCAGAGCGAGCCTCGATCAAATGTCAAAAAGGCAAATATTCCAACGCGTGTTCTTTAACAAGCATCATCAGCGCGTTGGGTTACAAGCCCCGACGTGTTTTATCTGATAGCTTTAAATAAGCAAAGCTGTTGGTGAGATTACGCCGGTCGTCCCTTGAGAGTTTCGTCAGAGCTTCACGTCAACCTCACTTGTCTGCCGGTTCACTCAAGATGTGCAATCCCGCGTGAGATTAATCCCTGCCACTCTAATCTGCCTCTGTAACCAGGGGAGATTGGGTCACTAAAATGATATGGTGGAGCACGTAACCCACATACAGATTACGCATCTGCCCGTTGATAATCCCCTCACACTCTGAGTAAGGTTAAGAGAGCGAATGTGCTGCACAGCATTAGAAGTTCTGTCTATCTATAAATACAGATACCCTTCTTTTTTTTGAGGTCAGCTGTGATTTGCGGTGATTCAAAGTCTAATCTTTGAATAATTAACCAAACAAGCACTTTGATGGAGATTAAAAAAAATGAGGTTCATGAGCCGTGAAGCCAGGCGCCTGTTTTCAAATTCTTAGACAAAACACTTGGTAATAGCTCCCAGGAGGAATATTTAATTGAATCTACTCGTAATGGAATAGAAGAAAAAACGCTTCCCGTAATTACGACAGCATGACAGCCTAAAAGTTAGTAAGACGCTGAGTTTTAAAGTATTGCAAAGGAATATTTCAACATTCTATGAAAGGCGATTACTCCCTTTTTTGCAGACTTAGATGGGAAGATTGATTCCGCTCACTAGCGCCTTTCCGTCATGTCTGGAGCCGGGAGGCGATTAGCTCAGCGTACAGGCCCGAGGCTGCCAGCTGTCCAAGGTTTAACAAATCTGCCTCTAAAGCATAAATAAAAGGCTGTTTCTTGCTTCTCTGAGCTCAACACAAACAGAGGAGTTAAAGCTGTGGCCGACCATCAGTTTGGACTAAGACTAAACAGGTCTCAGGATTTGTCTCCAAAATGTGTATGTTCATAAAAATACTGCGACGCCGACATAAACTTGAGGTCAACTTAACTTCAACAGAAATGTTGATAGCCATACTAATACCGTGTTATATGCTTGGGAAGAAAAGGCCTGTTGGCGTTCGCATGGATGTGAAGAATTCATTAAATATCTTGGTGAAACAACACTCAACCGTTGGTGAAGGAAAAAAAAACAAAAGGTAACAAGCGGTTGGATATTAGGCCACAATGTTTATTCAGTAGTGTTGTTTCAACTTATAGGTACAATACTGTCAGCTTTTGTAAGACTAAAAAAAAGTTACCATTACAGTCACCTATGCTCACAGAATGCCAGTCAAGTCGTTTACACCCCTCCGTCGTGTGCACACCCGCCTCGTGCTCTCCTTGAGCAAGTACATTTCCAAATGGTAGGCACTTTGAAGGTTTAAAACATTTGTGAATATACATTTATATATATTTATATATCTTTTCATGTACTAATAAGCAATTGGACTCAAAGGCCTGGTCTTTTATGGGGCGAGGAGGAAAAAGAAACGGATTTCGGGAAGAAAAAGAGAAAAAGTTAAAAACATGATTTCCCCTTTTGTTTTTTTTTTTTTTTTGTGTGTTTTTGTGGGGGGGGGGGGGGGGGGGTCTGAGAATAGGAATGCTGTGAGTCTTTGGGTTTTTTAGTATAGTTCAGTACCGTAGGTTCTATATGATGTGGACAACAGGGATCAAGAGGCTGAGGATGAGTCTACAACACAGGTCAATCCAAGGAAGGAGATGTACAGCTTCAGATGTGAGGACCATGGGACCATCTACGGAATCTACTTCACATTACTGTACAGCTTAGAGAAAGAAAAAGGCAACTTCACAAACCCGCTGGACAAAACTTCCACGTCCCTCCGGAGCAGGTTTGTGTAGACGTAATGCAAGAATACAAACATTCTAGCGGTGTTTTCCTTGATGTGACTACGTGGCCTAGCGACGGGCTAAACCCAGGAGCATTGACACCACACTCGTCTCTCAACAGAAGCTCTCCTGTAATGCCTCCACTGAACAAAAAGCAGGAGCGGCCCTCAACGCGCGTGTCTTGACGGAGACTATTCAGAAAGACACGGCAGCTTTATTTACCAAGACGGATGAGAGAATGGGAGTTTTTCTCTTTTCTGTAACCGGGTGTCGTATGTGCTTTGCACAAGGGGGGATCGGAACCCGGTGTCCGAGCGGTCGCAGGGCCCTTTGGTGAACAGATGCAAGGGCCCGGAGCATCTGGGACAGGTACAATAACGGCCCGGGCCGACCACCTAACAGGCCTCGCTCCAACGGGAGGAAAAAGGTGTGAGCGAGGGAGGAAAGGGGGAAGGAGAGAGGCAGTGGATATGCGCTGTGAAGCTGTCGAAAAGAAGAGAGAAAATAAAGGCTACAATGAAAAGAGAACAAACAAATGAAGAGGACACGATGAACTAAAAAAAAACTGATGCAAATGATGAACATCGTAACCTGAAGGGGGAACATTTACATTGACCGTTAACAGCGTTAATATGGAGACAGGAGAGCTTCATCAAAACTACAAAGGCAATTTGTTTTGTTTTTTAAAACATCAGAGAAAAAAGATAAATTAATGTAATACACCTTTAGAGATCAACAACAGACATGCTAGGACAAAAAAAAACTGAAAGTAGGATTGATACAGAATAATTATATTCAATTATTTCCACTTTTAACTTGTTTTTTCTTTACAAATAACATACTGCTACAATTAAAAGTAGTCAGCGACTAGAAACCGCTCAGAAGCCCGATGCGATCCCTCGCCTTTACAGATCCGGTTTTCTATTTTTTTAGCGTTTTTCAAATAATACACAAAATGTTTAAATACACTGAGATTTGCCGTAAAATGAAAAAAATGCTTGGTTTTCAATTGTTTTTCTTCTTTTTTTTTAAGAAAAAGAAAAGATCTTAATTACAATACTCTATGCAAAAGCTTTCCTTTATGCTATTTTTTTTCCTTAATCAACTTGAAAAACATTCTGTCGTTGTTTCTCCGTTGCCGTGGACTGAGATTTTGACAGTCACTTGCGATTTTTCCATCTGACGGCGGGATGGGGTTGTTTTTTTATGCATAAAACTCCTTGGTTGGGGCCTTCTGGTAGGCGGCGCCGGAGGGTTTCCTCTCTCCCAGGTCGTAGCTGCCCTCGTCCTTCTTCCTCATGCGGTACACCAGGAGGAGGATGAGGAAGATGGCGAACAGGAAGCCGATCACGCCGCCTGCAATAACAGCTGTGGGTTTGGGGAGGGGACAGAGACAGGAAGGAAACCATCAAAGTGCGTTTGTGTGTGTCCATTGAGAATGACACCTTCGGCGTCCTAAAGAAAGCCCTCGTGAGCCGAGAGAGATTATAGTAGACATATTCCTTTATTCATAATAGATCATCTGAAGTGAGGTGTCTTGGGAAATCCAATGCAACACATTTCAAAACCAATTCAATTCCCCAGCAAACCATAAATATTGAGCACCCGTACTTCCTGTCAATGAGGAAGCCCTCAATTTGTCATGATGGACAGAAAGTCCATTAACGTGTGTCCTGTTGTTGGGTTTAAAAGTTACTGTTGCATTCACGTGACTGGTAGAGCCGCGTAGTCCCAGTGGCGCTCTATATTCCCATCAGTGACCGCCGACTAGCGGTCCACAGGGAGAGGCCAGGCGTAATCGGCTGTTGGGTCCTCATGGGATCCATCTGCTGTGAGTCCTGCGTGACTAGAATAACTACACTTCATGACGACACAGAGGACGTCGCTGGGATCGATAGAGAAACCAGGAGCTTTTCTCTGACTTGTAACTTGTGAATCACTAATGCTAATGACACAGTGTAAACAGGGCCACGGTGGTGCAGCATCACGAGAATAGTGAACATACATAACACCACCCCCCCCCCCCCCCCCCGCTCCTCAATAAAGGTCCTAACTCCCCATTATGAGGGACTTCATAGTTTTGTGCACAGGCCCGGCCTGCTGTTCACACCAGATGGATCTCGATACAAAGCGAGAAGTGAGTGGCCATCAGCGGTTTGCTCAGACACGCAGGGATCAAGGAGCACACAGATTTTCAGGCAGATAAATTCGCCCTCTTGCATGAATTCAAAGCGGTGCACTTGAAACACCCACCACGCTCTTGATCACGCACGGGCCCCAGAGAGATGCAGACCGAGTTCATTAGAGAAACATTATTTTTGAGGAGTGGAATCCGTGGGAGACATGGGGGAAATATTTCACTGGATTTTCAAGATTTAGCGGTTTACCATAAACATCCCGCCACGTTGTAACGTAGCAGAATGAAATGAACGCTTCCAAAATGCATCAAAAGATGTAAAATATTAAACTAAAAAGCTACTTCCATTATGAGCTCAAGTATTGAAGGCATAGTTTGACGTTTTGGTAAAAAAGAGACAGTCCAAAAGTTACCACACCCGCCTGTAGTGGTGCGATGCAGTTTGTTGTGACACGTACCTGCCAGCACCTCCGTCCTCTGGAAGAGGTTTTCGGTGCGGACCTCGATGGCGTCCTGGGGGGCGCCGGGGGCACTAGTCGTACTAGTCATCTGGTTCCTCTGCGCGTCCTCTGTAACTGGCGCCGGGGCCTGAATGAGGAGAGCAAACAGGATCCACATGTCAGTTTAATAGGAAATACTGACAGCAGTCGGAACCCCGAGCTCAGCATTAAGCTGTGGGAAGGTAAGAAAATCGGACTCAACTATCAGCAGCTCTTCAACTCTTTTCCAGAAGGCAGGACGATTTACAGGGAGTTATTTGTGGTATTTCTCTGTGCCAGATTCAGAACCGACGCACAACAAACAAGATATAAATAACCACAATACAACATGTGTTTATTCGTGAGCTATGAATTTAAAACATTTTGAGAGAGACAGGAAAGCTGTCTCCTTGTTTAAAATCAGCATGCTAAGCTAAGCTGCGCCAACTGACTACTGAATCAAGCTCAATATTGAACCTACACAGTTGTGATGAGTATTGAATGAGTGAATTCCCAAATGTGTTCCCATAAAGGGTGGGTTTCACTGGTCCACTTAGCATTCCGGGCAAAGGAGGAGAGCAGAGGACCAGAATGAAACCTGCTAGTGAAAAGCTAGAGGGGCTTGCCAGAGAAAAAATGGAACAAATCCAGATGAGTGCAAGGCTCAAAGAAGCAGCTAAAGAAATGCTTTTTTCCTGCGAGTCTGTGGAAAGAAGCAAATTATCTGGAGCGGTTACAGTCTCATGTATCTCATGTTTTTTATTTTCCCAACAACACTAGAGAAAGTATCAAAGTGCCACAATGGAACTGGGCCAGTGCATTCGCCTTAACAAAAGCAAGAAGGGGAGGGGGGGCGGAACAAGGTCAGGTACGCCCGGCTTATTGGTTTGAGACCTTGACGACTAATCCCCGACAGATGCAGTGTCCAGCCGAGTACAGTGAGAGGGCATCCCACGGAAGTGCCATCTCGAATGCTTCCAGAACATGCGATTAAGTCCAAGAGAGACGTAATCCTCCATCATTTGCAATCGAGCGAAAAAATATTGAGAATTGACGTGAGCACTTGATCTTCATCCTGAAAGCAACCTCGTGGCCCGCAGAGCATTACGGAGGATTTGACGACATACTGTAGGCTGAAGACACACTGAGCTGCTGAGTTTAGACGGCTACAAACCAGCCACTGTGATTACAATTGTTAAGGATGCTGATGCCATGTGCTCAAGGTGGATCATAAACACATGTGGGAGTATCAGCAGGATCACATGCGTTAGAAAACACACAATTACTTCTGAAAGAAATGGTTTAAAAGTGGAAAATATGCTACTTCCATCTATTTTTTTCTAGTATATCAACGAGATCCTGAATGATACATCGGCTTATATCAGATAACCGAGTATATATCAGTAAAGCTGCACATGAGTTTATTCTATCATCACTATTATCTATTCAACCAGTGGTTTATTTTTCTTTTTTTGAAAAGTCCCCAGCACATTTCTTGGTCTGAATTGTTTTAAAACCAAAGAAATAAGAATTTAATAGAACCTGTTCTAAATATTCGCCCGTTATATCAGGCTGGACTAAATAATTCAGCACGGGTCGGGCGGGTCGGGCCACCTACCTCTGTTCTGACGGGTTTCCTGGGCTCCCTGACCGTTGGCGTCTCCACCTTGGGCGTGAAATCTTTGGTGGCGTCCTGGGTGGGTTCCGCTGCTTTGGGCTCGATATAAACCACACTGACCGTTTGGTCCTCATCCTTTGCCCCGCCACCTTGGAGAACGAGGTCGACAAACAGGGGAATCAAGTCTTTCATTGAAAAGGAAAAAATGCCAAAGACTGTTGTGTGTCTTTTCAGTGCGGAGGTACGTGTTATCAACATTCCACACCCACTGCCTGATAGTTTGTCTTACGTAACGTCACGCTCACTGGAGTTCAATTCGATGCTTTATTTTCAGTTTGATGGTCCTATAGAATAGATCCCGGGTGAGTAGGGTGCATATACAGTATTGGAGCATCTATTGATCGCAGTCCTCTCGCCTGTCACCTCATACTGCAGCTTCACAACTCTCTCGACTGGACGAGTTACTTCTGACCAACGAATGAGTGCTGCAAAGGTGCTCAAAGCAAGTGGGGAAGAGGAGCTAATAAAAGAAAGACATGTCAAGTTTGCACACTTGCCTACGGCGGTCCGGGCAACGAAGCAATCTCGCAACGAGCGAGAGAAAGAGAGCGAGAGGGGGACAAAGAGGCCAGGAGAAAGGGAGGGAGACAAAGTAAGAGGAACTCTTAGGAACAGGTCGCTGAATGGACCCGCGTCAGACGAGAGAACGAACGGCATCACCACACCTCTGGCTGATCGCCCGCTGCGTGAGTGAGAGAACGGCTTTGTTCTTACCTGAGCCGGAGCCCGAGTTGAAGTCGTCATCGTCCTCGGGGTAGTAACCTCCTGAGCCCGCGTCGTCCAGGTACAAGTCATCGGCCTGAGAGGACGTCTTGGCTGCGTCCGCTATCTGCAAAGCCACAAGACGACAAGAAGACTTTTAGGGATGTGCGTCGCTTTCATCACTCGCCGGCGTGTAACAGTTTGAATTCTGAACGTTTGGTGGCTCCGTTTTTATTCACGCGTGACCATGAGCGACTGCATGATGAACTTATGTAGATCTTAAGATGCTTCACTCTATAAACGGGACCTCCAGGGATCTTCTGCTAACAAAGGTCTCATGGCAACGCATCAATTTGTTGACATATTTCTAGTCTGGACCGAAGCGCCGAACAGAACAACACTGCTAAAGCTGCTGAAAGCACATCACCACATTAGCACTTAAATGAGGAACAGGTGACTGTCCAATCAGCAGGCGCCGCTCCTCCCACGGCACCGTTGGCGTCGAGGCAACAAGCGTGAGTGGTGGGAACGTTTGTGTTTCAGCTTAACGGGGGGGATCTGCTGAGGGGGCCGCACTTCTTACAGCCCCATGTGTTGTTTAGAAAGCAACACGTGGGGTGCAGGTTGAGCCTTTAACACAAAATAGGATGAGAAAACTGAGTTTACAGTCAAAGTGGATCGCAGAGCCTGATGGATGTCGAACACTTGAACACAACATATACAAAAAACCGTTGTGTGAAGTCTTTGTGCGGTACATGCAACTAATTGTATGTTGCTGTCGAGTGTATGTGACTGGAATAGCTATAAACGCATCCATGGCAACACCTATTCACCAAGCTGTGGTCAGCTGCACTGCCCCTTCAATACGGAAAGAGGGTACAAAGGAAAGACCCCACAACACACCATCTGTGTGTGTGTGTGTGTGTTGCTCCCATTGGGCCGGTTGCTCTGCTGTGGGGAGCTTGTGTTGATGAACCCCAGCGCTGAATGAAGTTGGATTGAAGGATACAACCATTTGGCTTGACAGGAAATACATTTATTTTGTTAAGGAACCGGAGGAAAGAGGTTAATAGAAGTGAAGATAAATCTTGTTTTGGACGTTAGAGCCGTTTTCATCATCGAGTAGTCCGTAAATGGTCTTAACTGTCTCGGGGTTTTAGCATTTCCACTTTCCACGGCGGCGATGTAAAAAGCTCAAGAAGCAAATTCACATTGCTTGTTTTGTGAAAACCTGAATATATTCGTAAAGATATCAAACCCATGAAACGCTTGATCAATCACAGTAATGAGTTGATCATACAGGTGATGGCAGACAGGGATGCTCTGATCTGATAACGGCAGCTCCAGAAGAATCACGACAAACAATTCCACCGCTAGACAACAGCTGAGCCTGTTACTCAAACAGCGGTATCGGATCGCTCTTCAGTACCGGCCCGGTGTGGAGTAATGAGAGAGAGGGGCCTGGCGCTCTCCATAACAAAGAGGTAGGGAGCGAAAAAAGAAAGACAGAAGCGAGATGAAACGGAACAATGCGGATCTCCGTCTCCGGACCGCCTCCGACGTCTGCTAGAAAGGCCTTTCAGCGCCGAGCCGCCCGATCAAAGGGAGAAACTGCTCAAAGCAACTTTATCTTAACCTCCGTCTCCTCCAAAACACAAGTCCCCGCTACGGCCCCGCAAAACCAATTCCCCAGTCCACAGGTCTTTGTGCATCGCCGACTTGAGCACAATGGACCACGAGGAGGGAAGGCCGCAGATCAAACGGTGAGCAAGGGCACTAATGAGATAGAGGCTACACACACACACACACACACACACACACACACACACACACAACGCACGGGTGGGTGCGTGTTACAAATATACGCAAGCTTTCACTCATTATATATACATTAAAGTGAGCAATCAAGCTTACAAAAGGACACACACACACACATACAGGAAATGTGTGAACAAAAGGTGTTAACAATGAATTCCCTCGAGCCTGTTAAACTTTCAGACATTATCATTTAATGGATGAACTTTCCCCTGATTAGGTAAATGAATCAATGGACGATGTGCTAGCAGATTGCTAATTAAAGCGTTGAGTCCCTGGAGACGGGCTGCTGCAAACACTACCAAAGAGAGTCAACAAACAAGTCAACAAAACCCAACTACCAGCCCCCTGTAAAGTTCACTATCTGTTGCTCAGCTCCCTTGGAATTGATTCGGGCCAGCTGTTTCCAGCTGTTGTCAGTCTTTGTGCTAAGCTAAGCTAGCCTCCTGATTACCAGCTTCAGTCTTCTCAGCGAACTCAGCGAGAAAGCACGTACGCTTATTTGCCAACAATGTGAAACCTTTTGTGTACATTGACTGTGAGATCTATACCCCCCCCCCCCCCCACACACACACCTAAATCAATGAATCAATCAGTTGATGGGTGCAGCCAGCCTGCTCTGGTTTAATTACTTAATAATCTTGCATAGTTTCTTGTGACTGAAGGCAGACGGGCTCGTAAATTGGATCCAGTTGGAAATATCAAATTCAAATTCCATTGTGACTATTTAATCTATTGCTCCTTCCTCACTTCCCATGTGCGCGTTCACTGAATCTAAAAGGAAATGTGATACTTACGTTCGGTAGGGGAGTGAATATGAAAACTTGGGACGGTGAGCCTCCTCTGTGCTCTGCACACAAACCAAATGTGATCAGCGAAGCAGGCGCTCAGATCGATAACAATCCCCCCTTTTTCCCCTGGTTTGCCTCGTTTTTCAATCCTCTAAAACCCACAGCGGCGCCGCCCCGGCAGAGGCTCACAAAAACACCTCACCATGACAACCGCTGTCGCACGCACAACGTTCCCCGGGAGTTGACACCTAAGAGACGCGCCCAGTCGCTCTTCATACACGAGGGTAAACTTTCCACTGCCGAGGGCTGGAGCCGTGCACCTCGCAGTGGCTTAAAGAAGAGAGAAGAGAATGATCACGCTTCAGCAGGTGGAGGCCTTGGAGCACCCGAGCAGGAGGGGGGGGCAGTTTGTGTGCCACAGCGACATATAAAGTGGTTGAGGTAAAGCGTGAAACTCGTGGATCTATTAAACATGCACGCAGCGGCATAAAGTGGCTACGTTACCGTCATTTAGCTTTTTTTTAATTGTAGCAAAAGCAATTTAGTTCAGTCTGTTGCCGCCTCTCGACGTGATCATAAACGTGTTTATTTGTGCTGGAAAGCTGGACGTTTCTATTGGATTCGGACCGTATTTCGTAATCGGCACGTGAGGCAAAAGGACTCATTGCACTTATTACTGATGGGGCCCTTTTCGGGTCTGAAAGCCGAAGATCACTGATGTTTTGAACCTTGACACAAGACAAGGCAACATTTCAAAAGTGAAATCAGACACTCTGGTGTGGATGGAGTCGGGTAGAGACCACGGACCCTCACCAGAGCAAACAAAGCATGTTGCAAGATCACTTTTTGGGGAATAGCAAGTGAATCCTTACGTGTGACACATTCAAGGACGCATCTAGGTGTACACACACACACACACACAGACACACACACGGCCTCATTTGGACACTTTGACAAGCAGATCCTACAGAGTCTGACTGAGCTTAGAGACGGAGGAAAGGGACAAACACGCCAGCGACACGGAGGAAATAATGAGCTGGTAGCTAGCGCTGGGTGCCCTCTGTGAGCCAGGTGAAGAGCCGTCGTTTCCGGCATGTCTGCCCCCCTAATGAGCTAATAAGCCAGCGGGGGGGCAGCTTTCACCTGGTCTGTCTGTCTGTGTCCCCCCCCCCCCCCCCCTGTCACTCTGTTGGACTACAGACCGAGTCTGGACAGAACACAGATGAGAGAGATGAGGCTGGGAGAGGGGAGGACCGAGGAGATAAAAGAGAGAGTGGGGGTGGACAAGGGAGAGCGGAGGAAGGGGGGAGGGAGGGGAGGCAACCCACTGCCGCAGACAATCCCGTAGCCTGGAGGCTGCTCTGCTAAAAGCCTGTCAAAACCCCCACGTCCACGCCCAGAGGGGCTTGAAAGGCACCGGGCCTGTGTGTGCGTACAGTACTGTGTGTGTGTGTGTGTGTGTTTCTATACGGGATGGAGGGAGGGGTGTGTGTGTGTGTGTGTGTTTCGTTCTATAAGGGATGGAGGTGATACATATGGAGTCATCTGAACTAAGCTTGGGCTCCTGTTGACACACGGCTCTCACTTCTAACACAACAAATATTAGCTCCACTGCAAGTCAGGCCAGGAGAAACGCTGCTCCTCTCTAAGGAATGTGCACCCCCACACACACACACACACACACGCAAACACACACACACACACACGCAAACACACACTGTTATTCGGCCAACACAGCTCTGAGGCGTGACAGGGACACATCGTAGACTCTCAGATCTCTGATTCCCGACTATTACCTTGAGTCTAAGACGTGCGTGAGAGGAAAACCAAAGCCTGCTGCGACGCACAGCCGTGCTGCGTGAAAGGAATTGTGCCTCTTTCTCTAAAAAAATAATGAATGTTAATCAATTAATTCATTTTTAACGTTAGAAGAAGGTGTCAATGATCGGAACCGTCCGAACATTCGGGTCCCCCGTGTGGCTGAGCGCTGTACTGCAGACATATACATGTTCAGTAAGAAAGTTCTTCTACTTGACCAGCCAGTTGTGCTTGTTTGGGAATGACCACCGTGGAGGAGATGAGGAGTAAGTAAGCCTGACGCTCAGGCTTTGCGCGAAGAATGAAAGCAGATAGCATCTCTTCTGTGTGTCATCTGCGAACTGTGAAAGCAGCGGTCAGTAGAGTGTGAATTTGGTTGTGATCTGCGAAAAAACTAATCAGCTCTCATCAACACAACCAGGCAAACAAATATCCGTTGCTATGAGATAACTGTGTAGAGGAAGGTGCTTGGGTGAGAGAGAGAGAGCCTGAACCTGTTAAGGCCTAATTAGTAGGGCAGGGGGAATTTTTGGGGGGATTTTTTGATTTCTCTCGATTCTCTCTAGAACGATTCGGTCTCGATTCAGAAAAGTTAATAATCGGAATATTTTTTTTTTTTTTAAAGTCCGTCTCGCGCGAGATATTTGCTCGCTCGCAAAAAGTGAACTTCGTTGCTCGCAAGGTTAGTCTCTGCTCGCGCTCG